GTATGAGGAAAGTACCCCGGATTACTTCCTACCATCTTTTCAATTATATATTTCTACACTCTTCTAATATTCAAGTTACTAGTTTAGATATCTTGAGAAAACCTTTTGAACTAGAGATTTTAAAAAAAAGTTTAAAAAATGTATTTAAAAGTATTAAAACAGTGCATTGAGAAGGAAGAACTCAACAGCAGTAGCATTCATTTGCTTTAGCAAAGATGTGTGATCTTCCTACAGTCATACAACACTGATTTTTTCCTTAAAGCTGTTCTTGTAGTTAGGTACTCAACAAGGAGGCATCTTACACGATGAATTAGTCAGCCCCCCTGAGTTAAGTGATTTAGGAGCACTGGTGCATTCGAGCGCTTGATTGTTTCCTTATCGGAATGTTCATAATTAACATTTTTTTCCCAGATCTACTGAAAGGCTTGAGTGTCTACATAAAAATTTAGAAGAACAAGAAAAAGCAAAATAATTGTGAATCATAACTCTAATTCTACTTCTATTGATTTTTTTTTTTTTAATTTGGATAAATTGCTGTTAGCTAGTGTTGGTTTTTAAACATACCCCTGCTCTTTTGAGTTTAGGTAGAGATGAGATTTAATTCACGTCAATTGATTGCTGGTTCTAAATGGTGATTATAAATTCTTATGTACATGTTTTACAGATGCTGTTGTTGATCTTCTGTCTAGTTTGAGTATTACTGGAAAGAAACTCTTGAGTCTCTACATAAAAAATTAAAGAACAGGAAAATACAAAATAATTTTCAATCAGTAAACTGCAGGTGAAGGATAAACATAGTATCTAAGTTAAATTTGCTTTATCCAAACAATTGTTTTTTCTGCTCATTGTGTAGTAAAGATACCCAGTTTTTGTCAAAATTAAAAAAACAACAACAAAAAACGCCATCCAAAAGTTCCACACATATTTCTAAGGATAAAGTGATGCTATAAGCAGAGATTTGACTTGTTGAACGATTAGATTTCAGGATAAAATATTTTGGGTCTGTACATGCGTTAACAGATTTTGATTAATTTCTTGGGGTCAGCTAGAGAAATCCAACTCCATCCCCTCTGGGCACCTAATATTGTTGTCCAGTAACAACCCAGAAAGGGGGTAGGAATGGGCTGTTGTCCTGGTTCATTCAGAGGTGTCACAATGGATCCTACAGAGCTTGAAGCCTCGGGATATTGCTGGTAGGGGAGAAGTGGGCATCTCTGCAGAGCTCAAATCCGGTTAATGGCTAAGGAGCTCCTCAGGCTATAAAAGGATGTCTTCCCCATGCTTGTACATGTGGATCAAGTCCTGCTTTATTCCAGAACTGAAAAATGGACAGATGTTGCACAACTATAGCAGCTTTTTTGTTTCTAAATATTCTCTCTCTCAGTTCTATAGGAAGTGCGTTGTGAAATGGAGGCTATTTTTTTCAACGCACTTTTTTTTTCTTTAACTACATCAGTTTCACTGTGTTAGTCACCGGTTCTCTGTTGCTTTTTCATCTTATTTGAATTTTTCCTTCTGGGACAAAAAAAGCAAAAGAAAATAACAGTAAACAGAATCACAACTTGTGGTAGGAATGAATCTGGACAGATAAACTGTGGTGTTATGTCAGAGCCATTTCGTGCTGGTTTTATGTTTTACAAATGGATAGGTGACAAAAAAATTCTGATGTGTACTACACATTTGCCCAGAGGGCAAGACATAAACTCTGTAGTCATTTAAATTCAAGGACAGTTCATAACAGACTTTCCTGTTACTCTTGAGAAAATTTTTGCACTCTCAGAAGGACAATTTGAATGGATGCCAATTTTCTTATCACCAGGGTCTGCCATTTTATGACACACGTGTGCTGCATAAATACAGCTGTATACTCACAGCACCAGTGGAATATCACCTTTAATGTATCCCTCTCAAAATAATAAACACTGGGTTTTGTCTCTCTAGAATTACATTGCATGGAGTACATTTACTCTGTACAGTGTGGCGCAGGGACGATCTTTGTTGCACACAAGGCCTAAAGCAAAGAAACCATCATTTGTGAGTGGTTCTGCAGGAAAAAAATAATAAAATTATTAGAATTTTGTGTATGTCTTAAAATAACATTAAAATGCGGGTTTTTTTAATTTTATTTTCTTCTTTATTGGGAGTTTGATATTGGAAATTGTAAGTGAATTTTATCAAAGTAAGGAAGATTTAATATATTATTTGGATAATCTCCATGAGATTTAACTGTAGCTAATTGTGGAATAACCACATCAACGATCCATGGCTGTCTTTTTCCTCACACGTGCGATGTTGTTTTCTAAGGTCCTGTATGATTACAGGTACCCTTTGAGGGGGCTATCATGGTAGAAGATAGAGGAAAAGAAAAATTAGGTTTTGTTGGAATAAGCCAATTGCAAAAGAAACCAATTTTTGTTCTTGACATTTTCTTATAGCTTTTATTAAGCAATGTGAAGCAACCAAATACTATCATTTACTATTATCCAATACTGTAATATAGGCCAACGTACTGTCACCTGCACAAGCTATCCAGTGCTCCTGTGTTGAGCATCCTTACAGATATGTCTTTCCTTTCTCTCTTGCCTGCAGCTGTTTAATGGCTCTTTTTTTGTTTCTTTGCTTGCCAAGGAATTTCTTTGGTTTCTGGTGCATCAATCCACTCTGTAGCTGTTATAGTTTATTAAAAGACTACATATTGGATTCCAGGAGAGGATTCAATAGTATATTTAGCCATATGTAGGCAGACCCTACAGAAATCCATGCTAAACTTGCAGAGGGGTGCTTGAATTTCAGGCTTAGTGCCTAGAACATGACTGTCTTTTTCTTGTTCCTTTAGATTGACTGTTTCATTTTGACAAGTTCTCTCTGCCTTCGTTTGCATATGTAAAGTAAGGTGTAAAGTTCTTCCTCCTGTAAACTGTCTTTCTTGCTATGAATTTTGCACTGTTGTAGTACAGATGTGGCTTACCTGCCTTTATTCTGAAATTTCCAAGAGTAGTCGTATGCTGTACCCTGGAGGAGATGTTTGGGATCTGACAGTTACCAGAGTTCAACTGTACCTTTCAACTTCTAGACTAATATTTTAAATCCTGATTATTTGGGGGAATTAATGTCTGTCTTTTAAGGGTATAGTTTTTCTTTATTGGAGAAAAATCAAAATCCTAAAATAGAAACTGAAATGCAACGTGGTATTGGGCTTTGAATGGTGAATAAATGAACAGTTGTTTTGGTCTTGGAGAGTAAAAGTGTGATAAATTTTTTTCAAAGATGTTTGAAAGCTCTCTTTCTGAATCACGGTTATCTGCATGTTTGCTGTTTTTAGGAGAAGGAAGGCACTGAACTGAATTGTCGCATATGAATTTTTATGAATTTTATATTACACAACTCTTAGCTACAGTATGAGCACTGGAAGCTAAAGTGCTCTTTCATTCTATGGTGTTTTTGCTTTCATTATTTACTGTTTACCACTGGGCACATAAGCGAGTTACTGGTTGACCAAATAAAGAGTCACTGCCTTCAGTAATGACTTTCACTTTTTTTGCAGTTAACATATGGCTTATACTCCTCAAAAATAAGCTTACTTTGAAATCAATAATATTAGGACCAAATTATTGAAAGCTGGAAGTAGAAATGAAAGTCTCAAAAGGGTAAGAAGGATTGATTCAGTGGCACAACTGGAGACATCTAGTTTCATTTCGGATATACTCGGGTGCCCCCTCCAGCTTTCCCTCAGAATGTCACAGATCTCCTATAAGGACCCCAAGCAATGGCACAAGCTTTTTATTCATGACCAAAGTTAGCTAGTAACATTTCAGATACTGACTATGTATATCCTGTAAGGATATAAAGGATAAAAATCAGTTTTTTAAATGTGTGCTTACTTCCTGTGGTGTGTGTTGTAGTTAACTGCAGATTATAACTACGGTTGTTCAACTAGGTACTGAGTGAAATGCACTTTTCAGGAAGGGCTTTTAATTGTCGTATGACAAATTTTTGTTACCTAGTAAAGGCACCATCAGTTGCATGTCCTATAAAAAATTGAGTAGAAAAAGGAGTCTGGAAGACTAGAAGAGATCTAACATTGTAGAAACTACAAAGAGAAATATGGGAGGTAGAGGAAATCTTGGAATAATGTGCATGAGTTAATAAATGCTTGTAACTTTGGAAACCAAGCTACTTTTCCTCTTTTCTTGCAGCAAATGCTATTTCAGGATTGCTTCAGAGGCTCTCAGATCTTAAGGAAAATATTCATAAAGGGAGATAATACAGTCTAATACAAGAGAGAAGTCGCTTCTCAGTACCTTATTT